ATCAAATATATATTATCCCCATATAGTATACATAATTTGGTCACTCAACAGTTTTTAAGAACTGTAGCTCAAACTTGTAGAATTAACAGATTTTAATGCCAATGATTCAACATATTTCTCTATTTGGAGAAACATCAGTAGATGGCGCAGGAGTTTCTGCAAATTCTACAGAAAATTTTTTTCCGTGTATACTCTCTAAATCTGAATCAGTCATAGTAGAAATTTACTGATTCAATTAGTAAAATATCAATTACTGATTGAATCAGTAATATAAATATATGGCGGCGGCCACAAAATCTACTGATTTAATAGTTAATTTTAAAGGTTATGTTATATACAAATTACTGATTTGCATAAGTTATTTTCTATTGCTTGCACGGAGAGAAGGGCGTAGTAGATCTTACTACTATCTCAGTTAAATCTACTAAACAGTATCGTTCATTTTGGACGGACTAAACATTCAGTTAAATGAACGATACTGTTTAGTAAAAAAATTTACACGATTATCGATAGAAAAAAATTTACCGACAGAAACGAAATGTAGAAATCTGATTGGTTGTCCGCAATCTGGTTAATTGTGGACAACCAATCAGATTTGTGCATTTTTATTCTGTCGGTAAGTTTTTTTGTGTGACAGAACTATAGTAGTCCCTCTGACTACGCTGTTTAGTAGAATCTGGACTAAACGTGTTTAGTAGAATAGACTAAATCTCTTCTCTCCGTGTGCATATTCATTAATTATATTAGTAAATTTCAAAAAATAACTGAAACTTCAGTTAAAATGAAATGTACTGATTGAATTAGTAAAATTTCTACTGATTCAGATTTAGAGCGTACACTACCGTAGGAAATTGTCGGTACGGCTAACGTGCGAGGAGCAGAAATTTGGTGCTGACTTTAAAGCAAGATATTTTAAGTTAGAAAAAAGATAGAGACTTCTAACTCAGATGGTTGGAAAGCTGATAAAATTCTGCTTCTCAATGTATATCAAGACATTTCTTCTTTTTTTTTGGTATTTATTACACCGAAAAGATTTGAAGAAAAAATTATGCAATTTTCTACTTTCGTACTAATGTTTTTTGACTCCCGGCATAATCTAGAATAATTCATGGAAATATTTGACAATTTTACAACATAATCTTTAGGGTCTTAGCTTTAATTTGCATTTTTGAAATTTAAAAAATGTTTTGTGGTTCCTGAAATAAGTTAAAAAAGGTTCGATCATGTTTTCCTACAACTCAGCCGTCAATCATCACTTTTCGCCGCCTCGCTGCTGGGTTGTAGAAAAACATTCTCAAACATTTTTTAACATATTTCAGGAACTACAAAACATGTTTGAAGTTTCAAAAAAGCAAATTAAAGCTAAAAACTTAAAAATTGGGTTAAAATTTGAAAAAGTAAAAAATGTTTTGTAGTTCTTAAAATATGTTAAAAAATGTTCGAGAATGTTTTTCTACAACCCAGCAGCGAGGCGGCGAAAAGTGATGATTGACGGCTGAGTTGTAGGAAAACATGCTCGGACCTTTTTTAACATATTTCAGGAACCACAAAACATTTTTTAAGTTTCAAAAATGCAAATTAAAGCTAAGACCCTAAAGATTATGTTGTAAAATTGTCAAATTTTTTCATTCATTATTCTATAGATTATGCCGGAAGTCAAAAAACATTAGTACGAAAGTAGAAAAGTGCATAATTTTTTCTTCAAATTTTCGGTACAATATATTGTTATATAATAATTAATTGAATTACGTCATAAAATTTTTTTAATTCCACGAAGTGTTTTTTCTGACGAATTTGCATCTTTTTATCAATAAATTATTGTACTCATTAATTTTTCACCAAATAAAAAACAGCACAATGGGTAAATATCTGGGGACTTCCTAGTAGCAAATTTTTACAAAAATAAGTCAACATGCCCAAAAGCGTTAGCGAAAAATAAAAGTAAATTGATTTTACAAAATATAAAGTTAAACAATTTGACAAAATAGCATTTATAATATGCACATTAGTTTGATACTCGAGAACTTTCTCGTTGTCGAATTTTAGAGTTTTTATATTCTCTGAAGAAAATTTCAAGAAAAATAACGTGACATAATAAAGGTTGACTCTCGGAAAATTTTGCGTTATAGATTTTTACAAAATTTGGTTAATTTCTCTAAAAAAGTTGACAAAAGGTAAACTGGACATGAATTAATATTAGGCAAAAATATGAAAACTTATAATATTTTGAAATACACTTTTGCTCTTTCAATTATTATAAAATAATGTAAATTTAAAAACTATTGCATTTAATTTGACGCATTTTAAATTTGGCACCATTATCTATACATGGCTGGCATTCACATGCCTGTCAATTCACAAGTTCCGAACCTAAAAGTTTTGTTTGATTAGTTTCATAAATAGTAAAAACAAAACGACTTTAATTAATTTTTCATAAGTGCAATGTATAAAATGTGTTTGTTCATTATAAACAATACTTTTAATTCAGTTATGTTGAAAAACAGAGTTCTTGTGCTAAATTATATGAAAAAAATGTTTCGGAATTTCCCAACGGAATTTCCGCAAGAATTTCCGATGGTCAATTCCCGGGAACTTTTTCACGTGGGGATTTCTTTTGTTAGTATTATATAATAAATATAAATTATTTTTTTTGTTTCTTTGCTTCCTCGTGGAGGAAGCTTTGTAGTCCTTTCGTTTATAAAAATTTTCAAAGTGGCGGATACAAATTTTTTTCTATATAGAAACATGTTATATGAGATCCTGATCAATTGTCCGGATGTATATATATATATGTGTGTGTGTGGATCCCTTTTTTGTTTAGACGATACATTAACAGGTTTTAATGGATTTAGATAAAATTTGGTAGACTCACACTGTAAAATCTTATTTTAAGATGTTTTGGTAGCGTTTTTAAGACATTAAGATGTCTTCATGTCTTGAAAACGCTACCAAAACATCTTAAAATAAGATACTTCTTTTTGCAGTGCATTTATCATATTAATATCTCAAATCTGACCAAAGGATTTTAAAAAATACAAAAAAAAAAAAAATTTATCGTCTTTTTTCCAAAATTTTTTTTTTAATCGAAAAAATTTTTAAATAGAAAAATTTAAGGTTACTTATATATAATAAAATCGTATTCCTTACGTCAAGACAAATCGATTGGTATATATAAAATATAGTTTCAATTTAAATTTAAAGAATTAATGAAAGTTAAAAAATCAAAAATTCACATTTTGGCTATAAAATTTTGTGATTTTTTAAATTCAAGTTTAAATATAAAATAATTGTGTTCCTTGCATTGAAACAAACCGATATAATTGTAAATAATTTATTTTTCTTTAATTTTCAGAAATTTCAGCTAAAATGTGAATTTTTGATTTTTTAACTTCCATTAATTCATTAAATTTAATAGCAAATCTATAGGTACTCAAATGTTTATATTATTATTATAATTATTTTTGTATGTTTATTTCAATGTTAATGCTTTCTTCACGAGGAAGCAAATTTTTTTTGCTGATCGTAAAGAGGAAGCAAAATATTCATGTAATAAACATCTGAATTTACAACTTGTTTTAAATTAATTTTGAGTTAATTTTAACCACAAGAAATGTAGTTTTCTTTTATATCGACTGTAAATTAATATTTTTCATTATTTTCTCTCTGCTATTATCTACTGTTGTTTTTCTCTATTGTTCTCTGCAGCTCACTGTAAATTTCAAAGAAGCCAGAATTATTCTTCAATACCGACTGAGAAAAATGTTAAACTTGCTCTTATAGCTTTCTCAATAATCCGCTAACAATTTTCAGTGGCGTTTAACCACTGAATAACAGTCGGACTGATTATTTTCGACCCGGTATGCTTTTAATAATATATCTCATTCTTAGAAAATATTTTTTATAGGAAAATTTTTTTAATTTTTGCACGATTTAAAGGCATGTCATTTTCATCTAAGAATGCGCATTTTGTTATAAACACCAATGACAAATTTATCATTAACCATATTTTTTAAAAGTAATTTTCTTTTTTTTTGCGAAGCATCGCATCGACCCTTTTATTCTATGACGCCGGTCGAATATTTTGCACCAAATATGCAATTTTTTAGATGCATACAGCTATACAATGTTTTAGTATTTATTTATTTTTTTTATCCGAAGTTTTAATCGACTTTATATTTAAAAAGAAATACTTTTATGTATTTTAATTTTTAATAAATTTGTAAAAAAAAATTTATTTATTTTATTTAGTGGAATAATTTATTATAAATATTAAATTCGACACAATGCTGTTATTAGTTTAACATTTAAGTTTTAATTACTCATTACATGTATTCAAAACAGAAAAATAAACTAATGTTACTTGATATTTATAATTAAAAGGAAAACGGTAAATAAATTGATAAAAATAACAATAGAATTTGTTAGAAGCAACAAAGTTTGTGTTTTTACGTCTAAATTTCTAAAGGATATAATTTTTTTACTATCAACAAGGAAATTTTTTTCAATTTAAAAAAATTTAGAAACTAGCTTCTGTAAAAATTTCCATCAAATAATGCTAATAATAATAATAATATTTTTTTAAAAAAATATTCTGTTGAAACATAATAAATAATTTTTAAATAACATTTTTTTTTTATATAGAAAAAGTAGGAAATTTTTTTTAAATATTAACATATAAGTATAATAAATTTTTAAAAGAAAAACATATTTGCCACAGTGCTAAATAAATTATTTAATTGTTTCAAATAAATTTTTGTTTATAAATTAAATTTGGTTTATTAATTAAAAAGTTTATTAATAAAAAACTGTATTACCAAAAAGAAATTTTTTTTAAAACTAAAAAATAGTTATTTAGCTGTGAGACAAATACATTTTTATCCTATTATAAATAAATTATATATATATTTATTTCAAAATTTCTCTATGTTAAATAATATTAAAAAATAATATTATTCCCTATTATTGTTATAAATGTTTTAAAAAAAATTTTTTTCTTACAGAGAGGAAGAAAAAATGTATTTTGTGTATAAATTGTTGATTTGGAGTAATCAGCAGGATGGAGTATGTCAAGGAAACTCCTTTGTACCTCTTCCACTTAACAAACGACATTGTGGCTCAAATATTTAAGGGTAAATATATAAAAGTCAAGTTCTTAAGAATTTAGCGTAATCTTTTATTTTTATCTCATATTTATATAAATTTTTTAGTTTAATTTTTTTTTTTTTTAGATTCTCGCTATACTTTTTTTTCGTCACAGTATATTGCTAATGCAATGTTCAAATAAATTTAAATAACATGTAAAATTGTTTTTAGCCATCAAAATATTGTAAAATACAATTGAAAAAAAAAATTATTTAATACTCTTAATTTTTCATATGACTATTGTTGTATTAGCAATATTAATAAATTTTATAAATAATTTATTATTATTTATTTATGAAAATTTAAAAAAAATTATTAACTATTTTTATTTGCATATAGGAAAAAAGACATTTTTATTATTGTATCATTATAATTATGTTTAAGTAGAAATAATATTTTCAGAATAGGGTAAGTGTATCAATTACGGCGCGTTTATAAAAAATAACTATTTCAAAATGGCGGATCCAATATGGCGGACAAATTTTAAATTTTTACGTAATTTATGGTATCTAGGGGTTTTCGGAGTTACTGATTACAAATCTAAAATTAGATTTTAAAAATTAAAAAAAAAATTTTTTTTGAAAAAATTTCCGCCATATTGGATACGCTATTTTGAATTTTCAAAATCTGACTTCAGTTTTGTAATCAGCAACCCCAAAAACCCCTAGATAACAAGTTTCGTGAAAATTTAAAAATTCCTCCGACATATTGGATCCGACGTTTTTAATTTTGAAAATTTGACTTCATATTCGTAATCAACGACCACAACAACCCCCAAGAAACAAGTTTTAAGTAAATCCAACTATTTTTAAAAAATTTAAAAGTTACATAAAATCTGATATGTTTCTTGAGGTTAGAAAATTAGTTATATATTATAATATAAATGAACAAATAAATAAATAATAATAATAATAATATATAATATATATATACTAGAGGGGCTACGCCCCCCTGCGCTCTTCGCGAGCCAACCCCCCTGTTTTAATCATTTTTTTTTAATTTTCCATTGATCTTATTTTTCCAAATGAACCACCTATTTCAAAGAATTATTAATTATTACAGATTCATTGAAATCTGAATAAATATTAATAAAATTAAAATTATTAAATTTTAATTAATAAAATGATTAAATTAATAATAAATAAATAATTAAATAAATTAAAATCGACATTAAGAAATTATTTTTAAAAATAATTTCAATGAAATTGCCTAAAAACCAATAAATTATTTAAAAGTCTTGAAACGAACATAACCTTTAAATTTAAGTCATTTTTGGCGGGAACTCCACCTCCACTTGCGGCTATATTGAAAGTCTTGAAATTTACATAACCTTAAAATTTATGTCATTTTTGGCGGGAAATTCAGAGAGAGATGAGGGAAGGGGGAAGGACTTACTGCTTTATTAGGGTCTTAAAACAAACATAACCTCAAAATTTAGGTCATTTTGGAGGAGGAGGGGAAATGAGAGGAGGGAGGGGGGACTTGCTGCTATATTCAGAGCCTTGAAACGAACATAACCTTAAAATTTATGTCATTTCTGTCGGGGAAGGGGAGGGGACTTGCGGCTATATTCAGAGTCTTGAAACGAACATAACATTAAAATTTAGGAGGGGGGACTCCCCCCTCCTAGGTCAAGAATTCTTGAAACAGCGGCTGCGGCGATATCTTTTTGTAATATAGGAAGATATAATATATAATATAATAATAATAAAAAATAAATAATAAATAAATTAAAATATAAAAACTTCCTATAAATATAAAATATAAATATTTTTTTAATAATAATAATATTTTTTATATTTTTTATTTATACATGGGGGTATGGTACTCGGGTCAACCGCACATAATATTTTTTTATATGGGACTGTGTATTTTATAAAATCATCACATTTTATTTTTAAAAATCCTGAATATAATTCTATCAATGAAATAATATTTCCAAAAATTATAATTTCCAACAAGTACTTTAAATGTGACGAAATAAATTTGAAATTTTATTACCTTCATATACCTGCATTTCGAGTTGTATATTTATGTATAGTATACAAAAGGGTATCATAAATCGAAGGTTATAAAATAATGGAAATAAATAATTCCATAGATAATTAAATCAGTTGCAATTCAAGTATTGACCTGTTGAGACGTGTGAATTTTATAATAAAAAAAAGTATAATTTTTGTGTTTTATTTATAATTTTTTTATTTGTAGTGTATAGCTTCGCGAGTGCTCGATTCTTTTATGCCATGAACGAAAACTTTTTTTAGTGTTAAATTTTTTTTTTTTTGACATTTTAGTAAACAATTTGTCTCGGGAGTGTTGAAAATTTTTAAAATCACAATCGCTTTAAATCAGTAATAAAGTATTTTGTTTCTTAATTTAAACATGTATTCGGGAGTGTTTGAAAATTTTAAAATCACGTGTGTTACCAAAAGATATTTTCGTCTAAATTTGATGATACATTCATTGCAGGATAAGGTCAGAGCTATATTTTTTTTTAATTAATAATAATTACACGGAAAGAATAAGTGTTAAAAAAAATTTAATACCGTTCCAAAAAAATAATGGCAAATTTTTTAGTTGTATTAAAATATGTTTAATATTTTTTCTTTACGTGTAGATTCAAATTTTATTTTCTATAAAATATTTTTTTAAACATTACATTAATTTTTTTACGAATAGGTTAATACTATTTTTAAAAATATGAAATTATCCTTTAAATTCATATTTAAGAATATTTTTAAGAAAATAAAATTTGTTTTAAGAATGTTCTATATTTAAAGTTTCTGCACTGAAAAAAAATTCTAGTTAGAATAACCAGAATTCTGGTTAGGGTATATTTAACATTTTGATTCTGGTTAGGTTAATCAGAATTCTGGTTATTTTAACGAGAATTCTAGTTAATTCAACTAGAATTCTGGTTAACATAACTAGAAAGTAATGTTAAATATAGCCTAACCAGAATTTTTTTTTCAGTGTGTTAGTGATACACACATTGAAATAAAATACGAAGCTGAAGTACGCAACGTTTATGATAAACAATTTTTAAAGAAATAATTTTTTAAAATGAAAACTTGTATAATTTTTTGCCTAAAAAATATTTTTTTATAATTTGTTGATTAATGAAAACTACATGAAATATTTTTTAGTCAAAAAATTATAGAATTTTTCATTTTAAAAAATTATTTCTTTAAAAATCGTTTATCATAAACGTTGCGTATTATAAATATATAACTATTTGCATTTTTTTTAAATTACATAAAGCGAAAATTTATATTTTTTTTAAATAATAATAAGAATTGACAAAATTATTATAATAATTTTTGTATTTTGCATTATCCTTTTTCACTAAAATTGAAAATACCACAGGTAATTCAATCAGTGAAAGAATATTTCACGAAACTTTAATTTTCAAGAATTGTAAATGTTGAAATAATTTTGAAATTTTTTTATACCTGCATCCCTATCTGTATATTTACATAAATAATATCTATTAAGACGAAAGTCATAAACAATGTGGTTGAAAAAACCAAAAGATAATTAAATTGATTCCAATTTGTTTATTTACCTGATCATATATACAGGGTGATTTTTATGTTCCGAACCCCCTGAAATTTTTTTTTTCATTTTTTAAACAAAAATAATGGAAATTAATAATAATAATAAATTTTAAAAAAATTATGTGGTCCGGAATATAAAATCACCCTGTATATATTTTATATTTTCACATTTAAACTGAATAAATAGCATTTTTAGAGTGTTAAACTTTTTTTGTATAAACACAATAAAAATTACAATTGGAATAGGGTCAGCCGGGGTAAATCCGAACGCATTTAGTAAGTTTCAACAATAACATAAGTTTTTTCTTTAAAAAAAAATACTTCCGGTATTCTGGTGCATGAAGTTGTTACTTTACTTCCATAAAACAATTTTATGGGGTAGCAAAAATTTTTGATAAATTACAATCGCAGGAAACTTAGCGTTCGTATTTACCTCGATAATTTGCAACTTTCCTAAAATACCGGGGTAAATACGAACGCCACTGTATTTCAGAAAAATCTTAGGGAAAATAAATTTAAAGTATTGCAATTGTTAAACTTATATAAAAACTCAAAAAATACGATAATAAACCTATTATGTAATAATGCATCATATATAAATACAAAAATCAAACAGGTTAAAAATTAAAATACATTACACAATTACACTGCAAAAAGAAGTATCTTATTTTAAGATGTTTTGGTAGCATTTAGATGTTTAAAATTTTTTAATGTCTTAAAAACGCTACCAAAACATCTTAAAATAAGATACTTCTTTTTGCATTGTAAAACCTTTAATAACTTTATCATATCATAACGGATTTTTGCAAAACTTGGTACAGAAAGTATTTTGGAGTCATTGAATGTAAATACAAAAATAAAAGTCAAATTTTTTAAATTCAAAATAGCGGACTTACCTAAAACTTATTTTTAAAAATGATCAAATTTGCCAACTCCATATTCGTAATCAACGACCCTGAAACCCCCCGAGTAACAATTTTCGAGCGAATCCAATGAATTTTTTAATTCTTGTCCGCCATATTGGATCCGCCATTTTGAATTTTGAAAAACTGACTTCAAATTGGTAATCAGCGACCCCAAAAACCCTAGAATACCAAATTTTATTAAGATCCTGAAAAACTTTTTTTTAACAAACCATTTGGCAAAAAAAGTGGAACACTCCTTCGAGAGAACAGAGATTAAGTTTCTGCTTATTAATTACTAACGAGGATACATATAGAAAGAAAAACTTTTTTCTATGTACTTTTATAATGTTAAAATAATAGTGTAATCAAATAAGAACAATTTTGTGTGGCTCCAATAGAAGAAAAAATGATTGAAAATACCGTTCGGATTTACCCCGGTTTTCCAATTTTCCGGGGTAAATACTAACGGTCTGATATTATTAATAAAATTTTACAGAGGGCAAAAATGAAATATAGTTTCTGTTC